AAATAGATGCAAATAAACTTAAAGCCAAATAATATGTTTTAAATATAAAAAAAATCATAGGGTTTTGATTAATATTTTATAAATATTTATCAATGAAATTATACATCTCAGTAGTGTATTCTTTTCATCGACTTGTGTTAAGCGATTCCTTCTTTTGATTTGGCTCGTTGTTTGACAAAAAGTTAGAACGGTAAAATGCACTTTTGCACTAACTGTTCTTCGAGGCTCGTTGACAACCTGGCAACAGTCAACAGGCAACTGTCGACATGGCAAAAATAATTAGCTGCTAATTGCATTTTATGAGATGCCCTGACAGTGAAATGATGCAGCACATTGCATATTGCAGGTTGCAACCTGCAGACTTAATAGTTGCAAAAAGGCAATTGCATTGTCGAGATGAGACTGGTAATTCCGTCGATTTGTCATCCACCCAGAAGATTAGCATAAAAGTGCGGCTAAATTGTGAACTCTCCGCCTTCTATGAGCCCCTCTTCCAACAATGATAATTCGTTCCCCTTATCACGGTTAGTGGATCGCTGAAAACCCGCTTGGAGGCAAGTTCAAGAGCTAACGAGGCAGGAATGCAAAGAGTGTTAATGCAGGCGGAATCTTGCCACTCTGCTGCAAGTTGCAAGTTGCACGTTGCACGTTGCAGGCTGATAGTTGCTAGTTGCAAGTTGCTGGTCGTCGCTAGTTGTCCAGTGGCATGCAGGCAATTTAAATGCAAAAAGTGAAGCTGTCAATAAAAATTACGCGACTGCCTCTCCGCTGCACTCTATTGCGATCCCCTCAGCCTCCTCTGAACTATTAATTTATTGCCTTGCGTGTCTGTGTGAGTGCGTTAAATGTTTTATTAATTAGTTGCCATGGGCGGGGGCTTGGGAATTCCAGGGGAGTTGGCCAGGAATTTCCCCGTGTTTGTCTTGATCTGTCAGTCAAGTGTCAACTTTCGGCTAAACTAATCCCGAAAATCCCTTCAAACGCACTTGTTTTGACGCACATATGTATGTGCTTATGTGTATCTATCAGATCTATATAAACTGTTTTGTGTGGCCCCAAGTGATACACAGCGAATCGCTTTGATGTGGGCGCAGACAAGTCATGGGGCCAACAAAAACCGATTTCAATTTCAGTCACTTTGACAGCGGCTTAAGAGGCTTGAGAAATACGTCTGGCAAAATGTCGGAAAAGGGGCAGCTAAATTCCCAAGACACAATTAATATGCGACGCAGTTCTGCTGGCCATAAATGCGTATAAACATGGTCTAAGCCCCTCCCACCTCCCCTCCCCAAACTCCCTCCTCCCACTTTGAGGCAATTAGCATGGCTAACATGAGCGGAGACGCTTAATGGCCTTGGTTTATTTTCACATTACCGGGGCTGGCGCAAAAAAAAGAGTTGAAGCCAAAATGACGAAAACAAAATCATATTTTATCGCCGTGCATAAATAAATCACAAAAGCCGTGGCGCTGTTGTTGTCGCTGTTGTCTCGCACTTCTCTGGCGCCGTCTAAAAAGCGCAGAGCCAGTTGGCCAATTGTCTGGGCCAAGTCATGCAAGTTGCCGCCGCCGTCACTTTGTTACTGCAATTAAGTTGCATCTGCAACACAGCAAGCGCAGCAGCCACGCCCCCGAAAAGCATGGGCGCATTTGTCAGGGGCGTAGGCATTTGCTGCTCGCAGGCGAGTTCCCCTAATGGCTTTGTTAATTAAAACCAAAATCAATATGAATGGGCTGCCAGAGATCGCAACGGTGGTGCATTGAATCAGTTGAGAGACTCAACGATAATAAATTACTGCCGGATGACGATAATAAAATCGATTTACGAATTATTTCGGAAATATCTTATCATATTGAGAAGTATATTAGGAAATACTCCAACAAATTTATGATTTGTAAGGCTACTATATATTTTAACGACATCATGTTAATGTGGTAATACAACATTTAAATTACATTTACCGCGTATGAAATCATAATAAACACAGGTTCAAGTCAAGCTTATGTCTGTTCGATTTTCATATTTAACTTAAAAAATGATATTTGGGATGGAATTTAAGCAATTCTCTTCTTTTTGTTGAATTAAATAGATTCCTGAAATTATAATCCGGTCAATTTAGTTTCCGTGAAAAAAGGTTTCATTACTACAAGTCTCTTTACAACTAAAAACAATATTTTTGTTGTTTTTTCTACATTTTTTTAAACATTTTCTATCTGCGAAAGAAAAAGAGATAAGCAGATATATTTAATTTAATGTGTTTAATGTTGGTTAGATAATATTAATGAGGCAATCTTACGCTGTAGTCTATGTTCATTTTTGAAACCATACAAAACAAATTTCAATGCGATATATTAATAGTTTTGCCATCCCTAGACTCACTATTTCCATGCAACATATTGCCCTCTGCCCAGCCCATAAATACTAAGTATCGCCGCGAAGACCGAAGGATGGATGGATGTAAAAACATATTTTCAGAATTTCCCAAGTAAATTCTTATTCATCATATGTTGTTGTTTTTGTTTTCTTCATTTCGACTGCCGAACAAGTCGTAAATGTGTCTCTGCCCGAACCCGCCCCCTTAACGCGAAATGGAGTCGCAGGCCGTGACGGAGGATCCCGGTTAAGCTCTCGAGATTTATGCGGCACTCGATGGCAGTTAAGATTGAATTGAATGCTTAGACACGAGCTGAACACAAGTTAATTGCCTGCGCAGAATGTGAACAAACCAGAAGCCATTCATTCGGGCAGAGTCGGAGAAATTATTGCAGTGCAATTTTTTAATATCTTCATTAAGCTCTGGGCTGTGGGGCCCAGGCAATTAAAAGACGAGGCGAAACCAGATTCGGAGTCCGCAGTTTTGCATAGATCTGGGAACTAATGCGAATGTGGTGGTGGGACTCTTATCGATGGCAGCCGTTGGGCTTCTGGGCGAGAGTTGGAAACAGAGTCTCAAGAATCGAGAATCGAGAATGGGGAATCGCGTGTGGCTACCGGATTGCAGACGGATCGGGTTGAAGCCGTGTCAGAGGCACATCAAAACGGCGTCTGTTATTATTATTAATTATGCTTTGATTGCCTTCTTGCTGGAATCGCTTCGAATCGCTTGGAATCGTTTGAAATCGCTGGCGGTTCCTGTTAGCAGGCCGTTTGGCAATGCAGCTCCCGAGCGTGGCTCTGGTCTCTAATTTGTGGTTGCCAAAGTTGATCATCGTCATCACCATCGCCATCGCCATGATGAGCTTGGCCAACAGCTAATTGAGTTGTGGCTCTATCTCTCCTACTCCGTTTCCCAAGTCCCAAGTTCGTTGCCTAAGTCTTTTGTTTTCTCCAAAGCCAAAAGTCTGCATACTAAATCAAAGCCCTTAAATGTCCATGGAAATATATGCCAATATTGTTTTTCCACCCCAACCCAACCCAGCAGCGATTGCCAACCCAGCAGCGATTGCCATTCGCTGGCAGAATGAAAAGGAGGAAATGTCATGCGGCTGAGGGAAAACAATCGCCGACCATATTTCATAAGCTGCGTGCCTGCCATCCGCAAAACACAATAACTTAGGCATAGGGCCCGATATTTGCATGGCATTATGCAAAATCATGACATGAAAGCGGAGCTCGCCAAACAGAGCACTGCGATCGCCGTCTTCCACCCATAAAGCTATACTGTACTGCAAATGCCGCTGCAACCGATCTGCCGAAAGAGCGGGACAAAGGCCCCTGGTAAATCACACTTTGGCAGTCGCCGTTTGTGCGCCGCCAACCCAGAGGCACCGCGTCGTATGCGTAACCCGAGTATGCCAGTATGCCCGCGTAAGTAGAGACCCAGAGCCAAGAGCCCCGTCGCCGATGTGAGTGATGCGTACAGGAATGGGAGCTCGGGGTTAAGGGGGATCACTGTACCAGAGTGCAACGCAGCGCATCGAAACCAGACTGCCGACGGAGGCACACTGGGGCAAACTAGTTGCGGAAATTGTTTCGATTGGAAGCTGATCAACAATTCTTTCTTTTCAGAATTGCTACTCAAAAATACGTTATAAATTTTATAAAATTCCTTTCAGTAGTCAATTCACCACGTTCTTTTTTTCTGTTGTATAGTTTAAAGATTAATGAGTATAATATCTCCAAATAGATGTCCAAATTTATGAAGATTGACTAAATTAAAAACGTTTAAAATACACAAAGAATATAGTTTCTCATATAGAACATTCATTGATTAATTAATTGCCATCAATAAAAGTGTAGTTGCCTTAAATGATTGGTAGGTGAATCTAAGTTATATATGATAGAAACAATAAAGTATAAATTGTATTTTTCCAAAAAAAAAGCATTGTTTTATATGTAAGAAATACGGCCAAAAAATAAACAAAACCACAAAACAAAAAGTGTCGAGATGTGTCAATCAAATTATCATTTCCTTGTTGATTTTAAGGTCTGATTGACTTTACCAAGTGAAATGCGATATTTTGTCTGAGGTTAACTACATTTTGATACGATTGATTGCTGTAGGAGATGCTTTGTTAATACAAATTAGTACTGAGAAATATTACAATCTCTAGGTCATCAACAATATTTTGCTTTAGGAAATATATACATATATAAGGCCTCAAAACATTTATCTTATAAGAAATTTCAGTGCACTTTCTCTGCTCTGATTTTCGAGGGGCGTGTGACCACTGTCCCGGGGGTTTCGGTTTCAGGCTGCCTGGCTGACAAGAACAAGTTGCCCGAGTGGCTGATGTTGCTGGCCCCGGCTCGTTGCGTGTATTTTGCGGTTCGTCTTGGTCGCAGAACACGCAATGTGTGTTCATTGACTCCTGCATGGGCAACTGCGGCGTCTTGCGCAACAAGTTGCCGCCGCCATCGCCACTCCTCTTGAACTTCTGGCTCCTGGTAATCAATCATTGCGAGAACAAAACTTATGCATTTAAATTGTCAGCGGTAGCAGTGGGCCGAAGGGGCTGCCAAATTGCATCTGACAAATGGACTGACTGGAGGGTTACTCACTCATTTGACTCCTGCTGGGCGGCTCCTGTGGCCACTTCCGCTGCGGCGCTCGTGTCCAGCTCGTTGAAAGTGAAACTGATATCGTGGGCATCCTTAAACGGCTTCATGCTGCGCGGTAAACTCCTGTGCCGCAGGCTCAGGTTCAGAAACTGCAGATCGCCGGCGGTCAGGGGTTGCAGTGGTTGCACTTGTGGTGTTGCAGGTTGGAGGTGGTTAAGGTCCTGGTTCGGGGCTATCCGATTCGCCGGCGGTGGTGGCAGGGGTGGCACAGGACGTGGTTGCTTTTGCTTGGGCGGCAAGGCGGGTGCGACCTTGGGAGCTTCCTGCTCTGGAGTATCCTCCTCCTGCTCAATGATTTCCAGGACCTGGGCCGTGGCCTCCTGTTCCCCGTAGAACTTGGCCATATTCTCGGCGGCGTCCAGCGGACTGTACCGCCTGCCCCGCACCACCAGATCGCCCAGGTGATCGGCATCGATGCCGAAGAGAAAGGGATCGTCCAGGACGGTCACCCTGGCATTCCGCTGGGTCACCTCGCTGGACTCTCTAGTCTCTTCGACTGTGCTGGCCTTGCCCGATCTCAGGGAGCGCAGGGATCTCAGGAGCTTCTTGCTGCGTCGCGGGGAGGATGAGGAGGAATGGGAGGAGGAGAGCGGGAAGAGCGGTCGACCCGCCGGAGGAGCTCCTCCCTTCTGGTTCCCCACATGATCGCCCAGATCGATGCCATCGTCCGCCTCATCGCCGGCCTCTAATTGCCCAGCGATAAGATCGCAGGCCACGGTGTCGTAGTCCCGATCCCGATCCCCATCCCGATCTCCATCCCGATCCCGGCCATTGTCGGGCTCCTGATTAGCGTCCGCCAGTCGCTGGGCCGCCGCCTTGCTATAGAGCTGTCGATAATATTTCTGCTGGTCGCCGTACAAAAAGCAGACGCGCCACCATTGTTTGCATGCCAGCAAATTGGCGGTACGTGGCACCATCGCCGGCTCCATGTTGCCAGTGGCAGTAACTGTTGCCTGGCCCGCAGTGGAATCTGCTCCTCCAGATCCTCCCCCCAATCCTCCTGCTCCTCCAGCTCCTCCTGCTGACAGGCTGCTCATGTTGCTTATTATTATTGTTCTCGGCCTGTAATTATTTTTCAGTTCTCGTTGTCTTTTCTTGTTGGCAATGACATTATGTTCTTGTAGCTGCTTTTTTGGCCGCTTTTGTTTTTCGGTTTTATAAAGTTCGGCAGTAAATTTAGCTTCATGTGGAATTTTAATTACTTGTTTGCGGTTTTTTTTTACACTTTTCTTAGAAAATTTATACGTTGTGTTTTTAGTTGTGTTTTTGGCTTTTTTGAACTTTGTTGGTTGTGGGTGATTTTTTCGAAGTATTCCAATGGTATTTATTTGCTCATTGTTCGTGCGGGCTTAAATTCCTTTAATATCTGGGATTTTAGAGATTTGTTTTAAGAATTTTGATCTCACAGTTATCCTTACGTGTTTTTAGTATTTAAAAAACCCATTGCATTCATGCGATACAGATACATAACACTCCTGTTTAACTTATCTTTATTAAAAATAATGTTGTTTAATCAATTACAAATCATTTTTTTTCTGCAGCTCGTTGAATACAACTACATTTGATACAAATACAGATACAGACGCGGCCCGAGGAAAACTCAACTTTCTCGACTGGAAATTGAGCACTAGACAAAAGCCCACCATCTTGATCGATCGCCTATAATTTACTTTCGAACAAGATGAAAATCGCCGTGGCATAAATTTAACACTTTCCCCAAACCGCAGACGGAAGCTGGCTGCCCAATGAGGAAACTTAATCAAATTTGTGTAGACACTGGAAATTGGCAGGTTGAACCCTTAATAGTGATTGGATGCGAGGCAAATAGCGAAGCGTACACGCTTACCACTGCTAATGGATAAAAGCTGAGATGATGATGGTGATGGCATCGACATCGACATTGGCATCGGGGCATAAGACATCAGCAATCGGGCCGATTAGTCACGCCTCTAATAAAGACAGCAGACACGTAGGGGCTGCAGGAGTCGGTGGAAAACGTGAAAAACGTGGAAAACAGCGCTGCTAAGTGCGCGGCCACTGCAGTTTCCATGGCGGCGATGCCCTTGTCAGATAATAATAACTTCATCTTCATCTTCATCATCATCAGCTCCGACTGCTGACTGCCGACTGCCGCAGCTGCTTGAGTGGTAGCCAAATGCCTTAACAGCAATTGCAGCTTACCATCATCCAGTCGTACGTACGTATCCACGTACTGTATGTATCCTGCCTGTGTTTGTCTACCTCTATCTCCATCTCTACCTCCACCACTACCTCTATCTCTATCTCTACCACTACCTCTATCTCTATCTCTGAGTATCTGGGCATCCCAGAGTGCATTAAGCTGCTTTTAGCTTAGTGCTGCAGACCGCCTTAATGGAGTCGACAAAAAGCGGGCTCTTGGCTCATATTTATGAGATCAATGCCAGGGAAAGGCTGTCAATCAAGAGCGGAGCCAATATTTATCAGATTACCAAAGGCTTCGAGATCAAAGATCACAAGTACAAGCACACGGGCAAAAAAAAAAAAAAATACGGAAAGACTTCAGTCTAGTATTGACAACTCAATTAAAAGTTAAATGGTCGTTCGTAAATGTTTTAAGTTCTAACCTCACACAACAACTGACATAACAAAGTTTATGGTGAGTTTTATGACAATTTAAGTGTTGTTTGCGATTTACTTAAATGCTGGTTTCGCATCAAACCTACCATCAATTAACAATTAAAGAAAGAATTATTGTGAACTCTTTAAAAAAATGTATTTTAAAAGATTCGATAGTTAGATATAATTCAAATTTTTTTAGAAAATAAAATAAGGTATCTCATCAAAATATTTATTTCTTTATTACATATTTTAGAAACTATTATTAATGCAACCCTCGTATTTCTTTGGAAAAAAATGTTGAAAAATTTAAGTTAAAATGCCGCTGATTAAGTAGTCTCAGAATAAAATTTTTCCAAATAGAGCACCTATTATAATTCCTTACCCATGAATCAAAACCTAACCCAAGTAAACATTCCACCTCGAAGAGTCAACATCTGGGAGAAAGAATTCAAGGCTCTTAACAATGTAGTACTGCTGCCACATAATTGAATTATAAGCAAGAACAATTGCAATCATAACCGCCCGAATGGAGAGCAACTGGCTTCCGGCTAACACAGAAATTGAAGATGATTTCCAACCGCAACAAAGTCGGGACCGCAGCACGCGATCCCATCCAGATTTGCAGTTAGACAGCGGGTGTGATTAGAGCCCAATGAGTGGGTAAGTGGGGGAAACCGGTCTTCGGATGGGAAAAGCGGCACTTGCGCATGATTCACATGATTCACATGGGCCACAAAGAGCTCTGCTCCGATGCGATTAAAACGCGATCACACAATAATCATAAAGCAAAAATGGAGTGGCCGGCGAATGCCCAAACAAAGACTTCCGGCGATCTGGTGATCTGCTGATCTGCTGATCTGGCGATCTAAGACAGAAGATGGAAGACGGGAGACGGGTGATCCAAGTCCATGATGCCAATGCCAATGGCAGATCAGAATGGAGTGGGGTAATGGGGATCTGGAGTTGGTTGCCGCGAGGCACCGTTAGTATTTATTGATGGCGGTTGTTCGACATGTGTAAGTGACGCCATCGATGCTTGTCGCGTAATTTATCCGATGCCAAATTGCCGGCGTTAATATCTGATAATGCCAGTGACCCAGTGGCAGCGGCTGATTGAAATCGGACTGGGCCAACGGGGCGTATGCAGAAGTGGCTTTATACATTGCCATTATCTGTGATTTTCCTATACGACTCCACTTCAGTTTGAGTAGCTGCCGGCTCTGTCATCAATCCCCAGTTGGAATTATACCCAGTTGACCAGGATTTGCCCCCCTTTTGCATACTGCCCATACACATGAAGTGGCTTTATGGTGCCTTTTATTGCCAGACATTTGTCGGTCTTCAAGTTTTCATGGCCGGCGGCTGCGAAACTGTGAAACTGCGTGGAAAATGGCAGACAGACGCAATTAATTTTATGATTACTTATGTAGATTTTTTTCTCCGAGTGTAATTTACGGAAATGCAGGTTAAAAAGTCAATTGCTTTGTCTTGGTTTACTTTCCCGGCCGGCAGTTAAAGCCGTTCACCGCTGTGCTCAACCTTTTGTGTTGCCTTCGCAGCGCCCACTTGAGCTGCAGTTTTCCCCCACAACCACCACCGCTTTTCAACGGCCTGAAATTGTGTTATCAAGAATCCCATTCAGCCCGGGAGAATCCGACATATCTATGGACTTATCACAGCCTACCTAAGTGGTTTAGAAAGCCGCAGACAACGTGACAACTCATTCAGCGGCGGCTGCAACTGTAAAATTTCATAATTTATTATGCAGTCCAATGGCAGCTGGCACATTTTCCGATATTAACATACGAAAGCCCGCCAGATAGACAATATAAACAATGAGAAATATGCACTTAATAGCGGCCTGCGAGGCTGGATTCTTTCCGGTTCTATTTGGCCTGTGTGTTTGGTAGATGTCTCACTCGCTAATGGATTAACTTGTTTGTCTATTCTATGGCCCAACTATAATTTGAGCCTCGGAAAGTTATGGCTGGGCCTGGCCGTAATAATTAGCCCGTTTAGGCCCACCAGCAAAACTAGTTTGGGCGAAAGCCCAACGCGATCTAATGAGCCATTGTCTGGGTCTCATATTTCATTGGGCCAGATTATAATCTCACGCCTGCCTTGTGGTTAAAGCGGGGTGTTAAATGGCTTTTGTCTCCACCGAAATTGATTGAGTTTGTCGCTGCTCAGGAATTCCTTCTCGAATTTTAATTGCGCTTACATAAAACCCGATCTGGCCGATTTTGCCAGACTCAAGCCATGGAAAACAAAGTGAAAATGAAAATCGAGCCGGGCACGCCTCCAAAAATAAAGTCGAAACCTTGTGGGCGGTTAGCAGTTTGCCGGTCTAATCTGCAGCGCACTCGTGTTAAATGTCAAATGCAATCAAAAAACGTCGAGCAGAAGGAAACGAGTGTGGGGCCAACTAACGTTGCTCCATTTTCCGGGGAACCCGAACCCGAACCCGTTCTTATCTGCCTGGAAGATGGTTGGGAAACTAACGCGAGCTGACAGGATGACAGATCAAATTGGCGTTTGCATACGTCCATCGACGGAACCAATATTTATTTACGACTTCCCGCTTTAAAAGCTCATAACGCGGCCTAATTAATTCCCAGGCCGAAATTCGCCCATTCGCATTGATGAATGGCCAGTGAGGTCTTTTCAAATGGCTCGTTAATTGGGACTCTAAATGGACGTGAGACATGTGTAATATGCAAATGGTGGGACAGAAGACGGGCCTTGACATAACGAGAGTTGGGTTGTTGACCCCACGAACCTTTGTTATGCTAACCAAGACCAAACTGATAACTGTAAAGTGGCCAATCTTTTCCGAGGCGAGATTCTTTCGGTGGTTTGCATCTCCAAAACCGAATCCGAGTGCCCGGGCATCTCTTCAAGCTCCGGCAATTGTGGCTGCGTGCGGGGGAAACTGGGCAACAAATTAACACGCCAGTTAGTTAGCCAGTTAGAGGCGTCGATTGGGGTTAAGCAGCCGTGGCAGCTGGCCCAAAGTGAGGGAGAAAGTTGATGCAGCAGAGCCATAATTGAGCCAACTAGTTGCCGCAACTCGGCCATAATAAACAACAGTTTTATTTCAAACCGCCGCCGGCCGACGCTACATAATTATGAAGAATTTCTTAATAAAGCCCGGAATCGAAGCCAGCCGCAGTGCGAAAATTGATTTAGTTGGTCCGGGCCATAAAGCACCGAGATAAATTGCAGTATTCCGTTGTGCTTTATGGCATCTCGGTGGAAGTGCAGTCGCCTCAGAACCACTATCGCTTGCGCTTTAAATTCAAATTGGTATGTCAGGCAATTAGAAATCGGAGATAAATTTCAACCCCGTGCCCACACATAAACATTCGCTTCGATACAAGTCAAATGCCGCTTGTCAATGAGGTGTTTTCAGCTGGAAACCCATGTCTGAAATCCGAAGCCCACACACACACACACTCAGTTGGCTCAAAAGCCAATTGCTAACAAGCCATTGTTGACACATTGCAGGCCATGTAAGTCCGTTTCATTACAATTCTGTGGGTGGCAGCGGCTTGAGATCCCCCAGATCTGCGGCTATATCTGCACTATAACTCGGCGAAAACTAATTGGATCAAGACGCGGAGAAAGCCGCCAGCAGTGCGCGGTAATCAAATTATTTTCGGGCCTTTGGCAAGTGTTTTTATGGCTAGGCAAGTCATGTTTTATGTGCTGGAGCAGGTCGTAAGCTTATTTGGTTATGACTTCATTCCGCGATGCTGCAGCAAGTTGGTGAAAGTGCGCCACGAATGGTGATTAAAACTTAACGCATCTAAATAAATCAAGCTAAGCATTTCGGTTGACGTGTAATGTGCATGGGATTATGAAAGCCATTAAGCCAATGTACGACTAGTAACCGAGTTCGTTGCTCAACTCTTTCGATTGCCCAGTACCAACATACACACCCTGACAATCCGATTCTCGACACTCGATAAGCCCATAAAAATATTGTGTTAGGGCAGTCGGCCCGACGCCTGTGCCTCGCATATCAATCGGTCTCGAGTTTCATTTGATTTTTAATGTAATTTTATTGTTGTCTGTATCTGCATCTGTATCTTCGGGAGGGGTTCGGGTATCCGTTTGTATCCATGTCGCATGAAATGCGCTGACTTGACAATCCCCAGGCCAAAAACATGGCTTAAATCGCACCTCACTTGGCCATTTGGCTTATGCTTTGAGCATTATTGAACGCTTCGCGAGTTGTTAAATTAATTCACTTGGCCCAAAGATGGAGCATTTTTGCCCTGATAGGGATCGCTCTGGATTATTGATTGCACTTCACTTCTTCTTTTTTTTTGTCAATTTTTTGCGGTTTTTGTAAATTCAGTTAGCAGCTTTTTGTGTTGTTGTTGTTGTTGTGCATTTTGTGCACTTTGCTCTGATCTGGCTGGAAAACGGTAAATGACAGATCTGGCGCAAGATAACGTGAAACGAAATCGACATCGCCGATCGATCAAGCGGATTATTCGACGACGAAGCGCACCTGTTGCCAGGTGTGAATGTAAACCGCTCGCCACGAACAACTCTTTCAGACTGATCGAACCCCAGTGGTTGTGAATCGCTCTGGGGTTGGATCCCCGGTTGTGGATCGTGTTCGATGAAGTGTTTAACGGATTGCGCATGTGGTGTTTTAGATGTATATTCCCAAGTAATATCCTAATATCTTTGAATTCGTTAAAACCAACTAGTACCCAGCATAACATTTCCCATTTCATAATTAAAATTTGCCCAAAATAGCTTTTAAAGTCTATCTATCTTAAGCTCCAACTTAAGCTGCAACTCCAACAGCGAACACACAACATGTTTGAGACTAACATTGCTCGTACGAAGTTTCTTCCCAAAAGTATACTTTTATTTGTAGGCATAGTTAAGTTTATAAGTTTATATACATGTAGACTGTAATGTAATATTCTATGTAGTAATGTAAGTATTCTTAAAATTTTTGTCCAGCCAAAATGATTTCTAAAGGTTTTTTTAAGAAAATATACAAAACTTTTAATATTATTAAGTTTTTTTCTATATATGGTATATATTTTTGGGGTGCTGTATTTAAGGGCTGCCTTTTAAGCTTTAAATATTGTTATATTTTTTACAATTTAATTTTCAATAAGAACATATATGATTTCTTTAAGATTGTTTGTAAGAAAGTTGACTTGAGTTTTAATAAAAATTTCTTCATGTTATTTCAAACATTTACATGTGCAATGGAAAAACATTTGTTTTTAAATCGATTGATTTAATTTGATGCCCATAAATGTTTATATAAATCGAGATCAAAATTTGAAGCCGCGAGGGAGAATCTACTTTTGAATGATGAATGTGATCTCAGTTGCTCTTTCTACAATGTAGAAAGTAGATTTCCATATAAGGTATTTTTTAAAACGGGTAGAAAAGGAAATGTTCTAAAAAGAATTAAAAGGGGCGCTGTTTAAAAAGAGTTTGTTGTATGTTTATATATACTGTTGTGAAATCCATAATAAAAGAGAGTAATCTGGGTATTTTGGCAGTTGTTATGCAACCGAACCCAGTCCCCCATATACGAGTATGGATTTGTGTTTATGCCCAATTATAGATTTAAGCTTAAGCGTGAAATGGGATTTGTCCAATGATTGTAAAGAGACATTTTAAAACGTTAAAATGAAACATAAGCTGCATAAGCTAATTGGGGGCAAGCCCATTTTCAGTCTGTCGCTTCGCAAGTATAAATGTTTACTTCAGAAATATGCTGGCTACAAAATAAGAAAAAGTACGATGTCAACCATGTTAACCATGTTCAAGGTTCAAGGTTCAAGGTTAATTTGCCGCTGACCATGTTAGTTGGTCACCATGCATTCCAACTGGAGATCATTAGGCCGCACATTAGTACCATCTCAATGCGGTCTGTGGGCTAATTAGACGTCGAGTGTGAACGGAAACGCTGCGTCTCTCTTTGCCGCTTTTTGTTGCACTGCTCGGGATGCCTCATGATGCATGATTTATGGCCTTTTTGAATTGTGGATTGGCGGCGTGTGAAGCTCCCGAGGTGTCGGCCACCAAAGACTTACCCACAGATGCGTTTACTTCGGTTTGATTTGTTCACTTGGCTTACCTGAAAAGACAATGGAGATGACAGGCGATTAGTTAAAGCCTAATAAGGGCCGAAATGAATATGTTATGCGAGCTAAGAATAAGGTTTAGGACTAGCGTAGACGCTATCACAAAATCAATTTGGCTAATTGCAAGCATAATGGCCTCGTTCGTCGTCACATTTCATCAGACACCGTCGAAAGGGAACGTCAAGGGAGCAGCCCCCAAATGTGCAGACAACTTTTTGACACGCCAACTTTGGGAGGGGGAAGGCGAAAACTTGAGGGGGCGGGACGTGGTTCGTTTATTAGTGGAATCGAATGGCCCCCAAAGTGTCATCAAATCAATGCAAACTAGCTCAAATCGAAGTCGGCTCCGAAACTTTTCCGGCCAACATTTGCGCCCCATTAAGCATTATGGGGGGTTGCGAGTCGTGGGCCTACAAATCCGCCTGGCAAATGGGCAATTTTGTTGGCCCATAAAGGGCCATCGTAATGGGAAAAGTTAGCGCCGCATCAGGGGCACAGGTGTGTCCCCGGGCAGGGAAATAGTTCCCACCCCCCCTCGGGCTAATAGATTTCCAAATCAATAGACCATCCCTGGGGAATTTTTTTTTATTTCTTTGCCAGAGTTTTGGCAATTTCTCACTGTCTTTGGGCCACATTAAATTTGCACTCCAACATTTAAGTTTTACATATACCAAGAATTTTGTTGCCTTGGGTAAAATGTAAAGAAATCTAACGAACTTAAGCGTTCTGGGTGCTCTCGATTACCGACACCATATTTTCGGCCATGTCACATAAGTGCGAATAGGTCTGCATGTAGAGGCTATCCTTGTAGGCCTTCCTAGAGCGGAGTTTCTTGAGGAGATACTGGCCGAGATCTTCCTTACGTAGTTGTAGCATCCAGGGCTTAGAATCTGCACCTTGGTCTTCATCATCATATTCCTCCTGCTGTTTTACCTGAAAGCGGTTTACCTCCAGCTTAAGACCATTCAGTTCCATCGAGGCCATCAGCTCCTCCCACTCCTGAATGCCATTGCCAATGCAGCCACGCACGTAAATGAACCTGGACCTAATCCTTTCATCATTCCGACTGAAGTGGGTGAGCGAACTATTGCCACCGCCTCGCTTCAGTGACTCTTGCACCTTGACGAGCTTAGCGAAGTGGAGTTCCCTTTGTTTGGGATCCCGGAGCCGCAGGATTACCTCTAGTATTGTCTCAAGTCGCAGGTTCCAAGCGGGTTCCCTTGGTTTCTTCAGAGCTTGATGCAGTGCTTTCAGAGTCTCCAGGTCGTCAAACCGCTCGCAATGATAACCCGGATTCTGGGCGTTAAACACCTCCCGTTCGTCGAGAATCCGCTCATAGGGACACACAACCTCGTGCGGCTGCAGAAGTGGAACTATGGAGGCCTGATTTGCGGCCAACTCTGCCGTCATATGCTTCTTGGACATGTCTGTAACCAAGTTCTGATGGCGCCGCAGCTTGTCCGTGTACTCCGGTGCCGGAACACACCGACCCGTCAGCCGGACCACGAAATTACTCCGCACCGAGCCGATGACATTCGGGAAGATACGGAGTTCGTAGCGCTGTTTCAGCAGGTGGCAGCCACGTGGCCTGAAGAGCGCCCGGCACACCTGCTCCTCGCCCGGGAAAACGGTGAAGGTGGTCTGGGACATGACAAAGGTATCCTGCCCCCGTTCGACGCTCTTCCCAGTGCGCTTGCACTCGGCCACGGCCCACTGGCAGTTGAGCACCTGCCGACCCACGTTCTCCACGCGGGCCACCTCCTTGACCACGTTCTGGTACGGGTGGCACTCGAAGAAGACGTTCGCAATCTCGGGCACGACACTACGCCGGCCCGAGTTGAAAAATACAACGCCGTTGATCTTGACGGCTGCACGGTCCATCCAAGTTTCTGGGGCAGGCTCCGCCATCTTCTCGCTTGGCGTCTTCTCCTCCTGCGACAGGATTTGCGACGTACTGCTCACTCTGTAAATAGAGCCACAGGACACCCGCTCGATCTTGCTGGAGTCATGGACATGATTGAGGTACTCCTGCACGGTGTCGCCCACCACTTCCAGTTTGTCCACCTCCGGGAAGAACTGCAGCCCGCGCTTGATGTCGCCGCTCTGTCGCTCTATGCGCTTCTCCAGCAGTCGGGAGCCCAGCCACTGGGTTTTCTTTTCCGGTTCCTGGTGCGCCGTGCCCAGGATCTCCTGCCTGGTGGCGCGGGTCAGACCACTGACCTCCACCACCGCCCGCCCGCTCTGCTCGGCCCGCGGCAGCGTCTCCTGCAGTTCGGGCAGGTACCGGCACTGCTGCGCGTCAATCTGGGCGGGAAGGACGGCGGGCTTCCGTTGGGCCAGGGTCGTGGGATTCAGGCGACCCGCGAGGTCCAGCAGCCGCTCCACGGTGCCCCGATCTCTAGGCCCCGCCGTGCTGATCAGCATCTCCTGGGGACGACGGCCCAGCTTCCGTTGAATCTTCGCCTGGACAGTCGCTCGATTCTGGAGCGTGTCGTACCAGAGCTTCAGGCGGGGATCCATGCTCATAGATTCCCGCATATCGTCGTCCAGCGAACACTCCGATTCGGAGGGCGTGATGTTGCCCCGCTTCTGGTCCATGATTTCCTGCACAAGGTCTTTCACTATATGCTGGCTCTCCGGGAATGTGACTTCCTTGAGACTGTTGCGCTGGCGGAATACAGCCTCCGTGGACTCCGACATATGATCCAATTTGTTCAGGTGCGAAGCGGGGTCCTTAAAGGACTCCGAGGTCTGCAGTAGCGACTGCAACCACGAGCGGTGGCGCGAAGAAGATCTTGCCCTTTGCATCTTTGTTGAGTTTTTCTTGCAAGTGTATCAAGTGTTTTATTTATTTTTACCCTTTTTCGTTTACTTTCTGATCAACGACAGCTAAATCTGAGCTGTGCTCTCAATCACCGACACAATATCTTCGGCTGCATTGCAGATCAATCCGTACAACTGGATGTATATCGAATCATGAAAGTGCTTGGAATGGGTAGAGTCCTCCTGGTAATCTCCCCTGGCCATTCTTGTCCGGAGGAGCTGCACTTGATCGTCCCATTCCTCCAAGCGGCTGGTTAGTATTCCTCGCACATAAAGCACCTTTGTGTAGTAGCGTTCCCTCAACCTTTCAAATGAGTCCGCCCTGCCAAGTGGAAGACCATGTGCTCCTCGCAAACCGTCCAGCAATTTGGTCAGTTCCGATAGGTGTACAATGCGCTGCCGAGCATCCTGATCATTACACACCCGATGAATTAGCGAGTGCACACTGTAGTCCCAGGGAAGGAATGGTGCGGGCCCTGCCCGCTCGTAAAACTGCTTGAGGAGATCCAAGTCTCCGTGGGTTTGGCAATGGAAGCTCCTGTTTCGTCGATTGAAAGCCTCACGCTCATCCAGCTCCCGATCATATGGACAGAGGATCGAGACCCGTTGCTCCAGATGCACCGGCGGAAAAAAGGGAATATTCTCGAGGGTCTCCATTTCCAGGCGCTTGAGGTATTCCTTGGGCGGAGTACAGCGACCGTTCAGGTTCAATGTGAAGCCACAGGGTCGGCAGAAGAAGATTCGTGGTTTGGTGGAGAGCAGCCAGCGTTGCTTTACAATAGCCACGCAACGCGGTTGATACAGAACAGTAACATCCCGGAACTCGCCAGGAGAAAGCATAAAAGGGCCCACATCGAACACAAAGTCTCCGCTGTCGGCTTCCATGAGAGTGTCATTGCCCGAAAAGAAGTTGACCTGTTTCCAACTGAAGCGTAACTCATGGTTTCCACTATTTTCGATACGAACTATGCTGCGCAGATGGCGCCGGAAGGGATGGCAGATAAAGGTCCTATCTACAATGGGCGAGAATTCCGGGACGTGTGGCATGTAAAGGAATCCGTTGATACGGACACTTGGGCCGGTCGACGGTTGTTGGAGCGTCATTACCGATTGGACGAGCTCATTTCCTCCGCTCGACCTTGAGAGCTCAGTGGAGCTCTTCTTGATAGTGGTTTTAGAGCAAGGATCAGCGATTGGGATCTCCTGATAGTCCTGGCACTTCCTGCCCACCACCTCTAGATCACAAATCTTCGAATAATCCTCATTCAGATACTCCTCCTTTGGATCAATGCCTCCTAACAGCTCAGCAGCAGAATGGCAGGGAAGTCCGACAATCTCCACAAAGCCCCTCACCGAACGCCTCACTACCTTTTCCTGGCGATTGAAGACCATCTGTTCCGGCATCCTGCCCACCTGGTTCCGCAGTCTTTCTTGCAACGCCCGTCGCTGGATAAGCATGTTCTTCCAGTACTCCAGTCGATGGTCCACTGTGCTCTTACATTTTTCCGGGGTCTGACCCAAAGATGACGACGGAAAGGAGTCCGACTCTTCGTGGAGACCACGCTCAGGATGCTCCCTGAAAATCTTGTTTATAAGATCATTGGCCAGGCCATCCGGGTGGATACTGCCCTTGGAGGAATCCTCTTCGATCAGCAGATTGGTCGAACTTGTGCACATTTTTAAATTTATTCGTTTTTGGGGGTGTGAATTGTCAACATTCATAAGTGTTTTGACTTAAAGGTCATGACAAGTCCTCTTAAAAAAGGAACATTTAGAAAAGATATTGAATGGAATCCATGTTTGTTAATTAGGAGATTACAGAGCACAGATTGAAATAAACACAGTTTGTACAAACAAATGTATTCAAAAGCTCACAAAAAATATATGGCCGAATGCAAAAACGAAATACGGATTTATTTTGTGTGCTAAAGACTTTAACGTAGCAATAGTGCTAGGATGTATATTCTTTCTCAGAACGAGATTCTAAGAATTGGTGCAACATTCAACACATTGTCATGATTTTCACAGTTTTGTATGCGGTTTAAGCAAAGACAAACTTTGCGGGAATCTTGCAGGAAACATATGATTTGTGGAGGTTTATCTCAAAACGAAAATCCTACCTCCCACCAAGTCTATTTTTTTACTATGTCGGCACTACTTCTGTGCTCTCGATGACGGACACGATGTCCTCGGACATGTTGCACAGATGCGAGTAGGTTTGGATGTAGAGCGAGTCCCGGAAGTATTTGGAGCGGTACAAGTTGCGCATCACCGCAGCCCGGACCTTCTCCTCGTCCAACTCCGCCTCGCCGATGATTTCCATGAGTTTCTCCCTGTCGATGGGCGTCACTGGACTTGGCTTTTTTGGCTGTCGGGGCAGTATGGGCTCCTCCCCGCTCTTCACGTCATCGTCCTCTTCCTCCTGCTCCGACTCGCCCAGCAAGCTTTGGTAGAACCTCTCTAACTCCGGCTTGAAGAACGAATCCTCTACATTACACATGAGATCCTCCCACTCGGCAATCCCATTGCAAATCACACCGCGCACGTAGATGAACCGCGATCGTTGCTTCTGCTCATCCCGCTGGGTGGAGGTGGTCAGAGGAGATGCCCCTCCCAGCAGAGGAGCAAGAAGATCGGTAAACTCGGCAAAGACCAGTTCCCGCTCCACCAAACCCTCCACCCGCAGGATGTAGTCCTTGACTGTGGCCAGACGTAGATCCCAGAGCGGTTCGCGAGGCTTCTTCAAGCGATGGTGGAACGCACGGAGCACCTCCAGGTCATCGAAGCGGGCACAGTTGTAGCCCGGATTCAGGGCATTGAAGGCCTCGCGATCGTCCAGCGGTCGATCGTAGGGACAACAGGCTGGCGGAGGCACCACCAGGGGCGCCAGTGCCCCCAGATGGGTGGTCAGCTTGTCCATGGCCAGCGCATCCGACTTGCAGATGCAGGCGCACTGGCACTCCAGCAGCTTGGCCATGTAGTCCGCCGGCGGGCAGCAGCGTCCGTGGAAGCGGAGCAGCAGCGACTCCTGGCGGCCGCAGAAAATGCGCGGCTCCACCTGCAGCAGCCACAGCTCCATGGTCATGGCCACCTTCCGTGGCTGGAAGAGCACCACCAGGTTGCGGGTCTCACCGTGCCGAAGGCGGAAGCCATCCATGTCGAAGTAGAACTCGTTGTCCTGGGCCAGCAGCAGAGATCCGCGGTTGTAGTAGTACGTGCTCTGCTTCCAGTTGAACGAGAGTGACTGCTGGCCAATGTTGGTCAGCTGGAGGACGTGCTTGATGCGACGCTGGAAGGGATTGCACGAGAAGCGGGTGACGATCTCGAAGCACTCCTTGATGCCGTCTGTCTCGCCTGGAATGTAGTCCACCCCGTTCACCCGCAGTCCCACCTCCACAACGACGGGTTCCAATCCCGTAGATTGATCCTCTGTGGCCCCGAGGGACTCGCAGGCGCACTCCTCGGAGCAGATCGGCGGACTATCACTATGGGTCACCGTGCGCATGGAGTCAGCCTTCATCAGGACTGTCCTTTGGGGACGCTTCAGCTTTCTGATGGCCGTGCCCTCGACCTGCAGGCCATTGAGATCGGGAAAGAACTCGACCACGTTCTGTATGGCCCCGAATCGCTGCTCCAGCCGCTCGTCCAGGAACTCCGATTGTAGCCACCCGGGCGGAGCCTTCTCCGCCAGGGCCTCCCTGCCCAGCAGCTCCCGCTTGGTGACGTCGGGCAGACCAATGATCTCCACGTCCTTGTAGCCCACCTTCTCAGGATGGGGGGGTGTGGCCTCAAGTCCGGGAATGATCTGGCAGGTGCACGGATCCTGCAGGTCGCCCAGCTTGGCCACCGGCGCAGCCGATAGGCGGTCGCACTGCATCCGATCCGCAAAGTCCAGGAGGCGCTTCACCGTCTGCCCGTCGCGGTTGTCCAGCGTGGAGCGGCGGTTGAAGAGCACCTCGCTGGCCAACTTGCCCGTCTCCCGCTGGACGCGCTTCTGCATCTTCCTGCGCTGCTGCAGGACCTCCTTCCAGTACCGCAGGCGCTGGTCCACGTGCGGTTCCCGATCCTCGCGCGGCCACGGCATCCCGGCCAGGTGGCAGGAGGAGGAGGTCTCCGGAAAGTCGCCGCGCCGCTCCTTGAAGATCTCGTTCAGGATGTCCTCCACCATGCGCTCCGTGTACTTGCCCATGGGCGAGGTGGCATTCGCCTGGACCTGAGCCATCGACCGGGTAGTCGGGATGGACAAGGACGAGGGTAGCGACACCATGTTGGCCAGGGTGAACTTGTCAGACTCGCCGGTCTTGCGAGTCATTGTGGTCATTGTGGATGCCGTCAAGTTGAACGTTTGCCCATCCATCGTCGGCTGCGGATTCTCTTCCTGCCCGCTATCCTTGTCCATTTTTAGAGGACTGAATGTGTAACGATGCCTTGGAGTTTGGGTATTCTTGTATGTTAACTTAAAATGTTACAAAAATATAGATATGCTTGGATCCTAGTCAATGTGGAAATCAAATTAGAAAAAGAGGACAATAGCTACCAAGCCAGCTAACACTCTTAATTTGTGAAACGTGTTTTGTGTTTTCTCATTTTCCAAGTAAGATAAAAGGATAACAACTTTGAAAAGTAATTTGTTCTCGCTTTACTTGGTTAAAGCTGGAATAACTATTTGGAAAGTTATCAATATCTTGTTTTTTTGCACACACCTTTTACAAATGGTTTTCGAAATTTTCAAAGGGACTTCGGACTTTCTTTTATATAAACGAACGAATATTCTTATAATCCTATCCAAAAGATATATCTAAATCAGACAAAAATTTTATAAAAATCACCCAAGCCGAAAAAAAGCTGCAGTAGATTTTTAAAAATAAAAGTTGATTATTGTGCTCTCCAAAAAACATGTGTTAGGTATTTATGTAATATACAAAATTAACTAACAATAGTTTTTTTTTACTGAATGACAATACAAACTTCTGCTATATTCGGTTATATTTTATTACTATTTTAAGTAGTTCCTTAAGCATTAATTGGAAATCCTGGCCAATGAACAAATTTACCCATCATTCTGGATTATAAGTCAACATTAAAAATATTTTTTATTTTATTTGTACATTGCCGCGTTAAACACTTTAGAAAAATATATGAACTGGGAATGCTGCACGAAAATCAAATCAACTGGGTTTCATTTCTAGGTCCCTCTGCTAGTATACGATTTTATAGACTTGAAAAATCATAAACTGAAATTGCTACTTCAACTGCAGTCTGAGTCCTAGTCAGCGGTACTCTCGATGACGGACACAATGTCCTCGGCGGCATCGCAGAGCAGATCGTAGGTGTGCATGTAGAGGGAGTCCTTGAGGTACTTGTTGCTCTTCACTCTCTTAGAGATGTACTCCACGATCTCCATTTCTTCGGATGGCTCCGTTGACTCTTGCTGGCGATTCTTCTGGGTCAGTCCCCCAACTCCTGAAGCGAAGGATGGTTGGCCAGGTAGCGCAGCAGTTCCAGCTTGAAGAACTGCTCATCCAGGCCGAGGGCCATGACCTCCCACTCGTCGATGGTGCTGGTGATGGTGCCGCGCACGTAGATGAACCTGGCCCGATCCCGCTCCGGATTATGCTCCAGCAGGGGAAAGGTGGCGCACCGGTTGCACTTCATCGGCTGGAGCAGGTCCACCAGGCGGTTGTGGAGTTTCTCGCGCATTTTTCGACTCTCCTGCTGGCCAATCATGCGGCGCATGGACTCGATACTCAGGTCCCAGGGTCGATCGCGTGGTTTCTTGGCCGCAGCATATATGTCCTTGAGGGCCTCGAGGTCCTCGTACCGATCGCAGCGATAGGAGAAATTCTGCGCATTGAAGACCTCGCGCTCGTCCAGGATTCTTTGGTAAGGACACAGGAGCGGAGGGTTCTCGATGATGGGCGCCAGACTGGCCTGCATTTTGATGATGCTATTGGCCTGCAGCCTCTGCTGCTTGTCCAGCGGCACCTGGCGATGTCCTTCGAGGCGCCGCTTGAAGGGAGCCGGCATGGTGCACTGCCCCTGGACGATGACGTCCAAGCGCTTGGTACCGCAGAACGGCGACTTGGCGAGGCAAACGGACCAGCGCTGCGTGAACAAGCCCACCTTTTGCGGCTGGAACATCACCTTGACGACCCGGCGACCCTGCGGCTCCAGGATGAACTCGCTGCGGTCGAAAACCAGCTCGGCGTTCAACTGCAGTCGGTCCGAACGCAATCGGCATCTGCTTAGCCAAAACACATGCACCAACTTTGGGCTCAGATTCTGTGGGAAGGCGTCAAGTAAGCGAACATTCTTTGACAGTGTTATTACCCAAATAACTCCATAGAAATTGTGTAATATTAAAGTATAACCCCCTTGGTCTAAGCTGCTGTCGAATCGCACTGGGATTGTGCGGAAGGCTAGTCTATACCTACATATATCCGCAGAATTGGCAATCTTCTATGGCAGTCGAAACGAGTGATATATCGATCGAAAGGTACATATGGTTATAAGAAATCAATTGTTATTCTCTAAATTCTAATTAATACAAAAAATTGTAATAATTTTTGAGTAAACTAAAATATTTTTCGTTTTATAGGTGCGTCACTAGTTTAGGATTTACTTTTGTTTGATTAGATTTGAGCTTTTATATAGTCTATAATCATTGAGGTCACGGATCATTGAGCTCCCACAATTTAAATACTTTTCTAATAAAAAGTCGTATGGCTTGCAAATCGGACGTTGGTCAAGAATAAAAAGTTCTTGAAGAGAAGTTCCCCAAGGAACCCCGAATTTTACCTGGATGTCCAGCAGCACCTTGACCGTTCGTTCGTACGGATCACATGTGAGCAGCACATTGATGCCTCTGCCGGTGGCGCCGCTTAGATTGCCGTAATCAAGGAACACGCCGTTGATCATCAGCCCGTTCTTGTCCTGTGGCTCGTCCAAGTCTTGGATCTCCACCTGGCCCACGCCATCTTCCCGGATTAACTTCTCGGGTTCCATCTCCCACTCATCCTCACCCTCCACATCAAAGGGCAGCAGGTCGGCCTCCGAATCCTCCTCCTCCACTGTGGAATCCCCGGAAAGCTGTTGCAATTCCGACTCGTCCACTTTGATGATCGGTGGCAAATTGGTGGGAGGAACCGCCACTGCTGGCGTGACTTGCAGCTCCTGCAGATCCGGTGCAAACTCGAGCACCTGCTTGATGAACTTCTTCTTGGCCTCGAGGCGCTGGCCCAGGACCTTGGAGCGCTGCCACTGGCTCTCGGCCGCGTCGGGAGTCAGCTCGGTGGCGGCCAGCTCCACCTGGGTCACCTGCGGCAGGCCGACGAACTCCATGGGCTGCAGCAGTGGCTTGGCGGCGTACAGTTCGTGGATGTCGCGGCAGAGTTCGGGATCGCAACACGGCTTCAGTGAGGTCAGGGTGGCGTTCTCCTTGAGCTGGACAAGGGGTCGCGTTCGGTCGGCGGAGTCGAGGACGCGCAGGATCATCCGCTTGCTGGCCTCGTCGATGGTCGCCGAGCGGTTGAAGAGCACGTCCTCGGCCCGCTTCCCCGTCTGCCGCTCGATCCGCTCCTGCAGTCGCCGGCGCTGCTTTAGAACGCGGTTCCAGTTGCGCAGCCGCGGGTCCATGTCCAGATCCTGATCCAAGTCCCTGGACGTGACCGACTTTGACTTCAAGGCCGTGGATAACACCGGCTGGCAGAGGTTATCCAGACTGCTGTCCGACTGCTTCAACTGGAAGTTCTCCTTAAACAAGACATCGTTCAGAATGTCCCTCACTGTCACGGCGCCCAAGAACTTGTTCCCGGTATTGTCCTCCCCCTCACCGATTTCCAAGTAGTTCTTCTTGGTTAAGTGAGAGTCCCCGAACGATTGGGCCGAATACTTCCCAAGGGAATGTATGACCGAGTGCTGAGTGCGCCTCATGATTGAAAATTGATATAGTTTCGGTCCCCTCAAGGTTATGTATGTATAATATAAAAGTGTGAGGCTGTCGGATAAGTGTTAGAGACACACCTTATTTGAAAGAAGACGCATAGTTCATTTCACCGGGTTTCCCATGTTACTTTAAAACATTATGAAGGTTTTAAAAATAAACTCCCTATGTTCCTTAGGTTATTTTTAAATTGTTAAAAATTTAAATTTGTATGACTTATTGATTATTTAAACAATAATAATAAATAACTGGAACAACTTAATTTATTTTAAGTTAATATTAATTTCTGTTATTACTACTTATTTAAGCCATGTGCAATTTAAATGCAATAAAAACCGTCTTCCAAAAATATTTATACACTTGCTTTTGAATTTGTTTTAAATTATTTTGGCTTGTTAGAAACCGAATGATTACAGGCGTAGGCTTGCTTTATTAAATTAAAGAGCTTAGAGAGAGAAAATACATACCTTGGTTATATTCAATTCAAGTAAATTGCAATTTATGAGGCCAGCTGTTGTGCTAATTTGCTAACAATCCCCACAAAATAACACCAAAAATCGAATAGAAAAACCTGGCTCGTGTGACAAGTCATCGTAATTTTCGCCCAACCAGTTGGCCCGGCATTTTCGTTGTTCGAATTTGAATTTCCCTTGCCATTCACCTTAAGACTCAATGGCATTGACGTGCCGCCTTCACACAATTCAAAAAGTTGCTAGAAGTTGTTGTTGATGTTGATGTGGATGTTGATGTTGCTATTGTGACTGGCAGTGCCAACAAAGAGAAAGGAGTCGCCGTGGCTGTCGTATGTCAACTTACCTAAAACGAGAAGAGGAGAAATATTAAATTGATTTATACACTAGGCATGTGCACGTTAACAACAACTGAATATGAACTATTTCTTATTTATGGACGGTTCAAAGGCTCATTAATTATGTCATCTGCGGTTGGACTGGGGGTTGAGTTGGAGCTTTCATGTGGTTTGGGGTTAGGCGCAGTCGAGGATTTACATTTACCCCGCCTCCTCCTGGGAAGAGGAAGTGAAATGAGTTTCCATCCCAGAAACAAACTTTCCGTTCAACAAAAGGGCGAAACACAGAAAACAGTCGAGTGAAACAAAGCCATATCAATTACCCTGGCAACCAACCGTACAGGAGTATAAAGTAATTTGGCCCGAATCGCTAGGAGAGGTAGAGGGATCCTGGCCAAGAACAAAGGCCGACAAACCGCAGAAAAGGAAGCCGAATAGGGACTGATAGTGGATAAGGGAGTGGGCTAAAGCCCACAGCTGGAGCTGCGGAAATGTACTGCATTGTTGGCAATTTCAATACTCATCATTATTATGGCGGCTGGAAGCCCTGGAGTGCATGTGTTCCATCTACGTGCCGGCGAAATGCAATCAACATATTGTAATTCAGAAATGCATATTGAGAACGTGCAAAAGATACTCGCAGTTGCCACAATGCTGCTGTTGCACTTAACGGGCCGGCGGAGGAAAACAAAACGAAGCCATGCCGAAACCAGGGGACATTGTTACTGCCGCTTCAAGTGCATCCACGAGGAGCAGAAAATCTGGCAGCGTTTGCATTTTGATTTCCCATTTCGCATTCTCCCAAGCAACGCATTCATTATTTACCAGCCAGCAACAGGCAGCAAACAGCAAACAGCAACTCAATTCCGCAGACTCATGCTGCAGTTGTCAACGGCTGCGACGAAGACACTTTGCCCCCACAATTCCCCACTTCTTTCAGCGGCATGTTGCATACCTCTTGGTGTTGACAGTGAGACAACAGCAGCAATAGCAACACCAACAACAACAACAGCAGCAACTTGAGACCCAGACGCCAACTGTGGCGCTCGTTGAGTGAAGTTGGACAGACGGACGGATGGACGGCAAGACGGACGGATAGTCAGACAAATAAACCCGTACAGTCAGTCTGATATCAATGCAAAAATGATGATGGATAGCGTGGAGTTAGTGCTGTGAGCAACATCAAGCAATCTTCTTTGCGAATCAAAAATATTTTACTTCTTGGCATTACAAAAAATTAACTTAATAGTCTTGTAAAATATCTAAGACATATTATAAACATTTTTTATGCCTTATAAATATTTACAATTTTATGGTTCTGTTTTCTTGTCTTCATGCTAAGTTAAGCTGTAAAACTCTATACACTTTCTTAGTTTAAAGCCTCATTTAGTTTTTTATAAGGATGAGAAAACGGGCCTAATGCAATTAGTGTTCATCATTTATAATTTTAGAGGCATCAAGTCATTAGCTTAGCTTATCTTTCAAATGTGGAACAAATTTACCAGCAAAGCATGTTAGTCATAAAATTACCCACTGATCTGCATTTTAAGTTCAGTTGAAAACTAATTACCCAAATTATATAATTTTTGAGAAATCTTAAGTAATGGTTTTAGCTAAGAGAAACATTTATACAAACATTGTTGAGATATTATTAAATTGATAGGTTTATGAAAACACAGTTTCATTGGTCGACCTTTTGTGACAATAAGAAAAAAGCAATTACATTATCTTATTGGCAATTGCTCTAAAAGTGTAGTAAATGAATAACAGTAAATCACCTTCTTTCATATATTTCATCTCCCATGTAATCATTGAACTTATACACCCGCTGTCTTGCTTAAATCCACGGTACTCAACGTACTAAAACAAATTTATTTGCGTTCGGTTAGTTGCTGCTCGACATGCAAATGCCGTTCGCTGCATTTGATGACGCCCATAATAATCAAATTTTTATTGAATGAATTGCAAGCTGTTAAAACGCGAAAATTATTTGTCAAGCGCCGAGGCCAAATCCATTGAGATTTCCATCGCCCGTACACGGGACTTGTTGGGGCAGTTGCAGTTGGACCCGCCCAGTCCAGATCGTGCGGGTTGGCATCGCATGTGTGGCCATAAAAGTGCGTTGCAAATAACTGCACTTTTATTGAATAGTGCCGTGGCGACAAGTGCCGCTGCTGCCTTGGACCGTTAGAGCGGTCTGCTGGTGCAATCGAATCCGAAGCTACAAATCACTGGCGAAAATGTTTCTGAGTGCTATTCATAGTTGGTACACAGTTCCGTTTTTAAAGATCTTACAAAAAAAAATCGAATGAAATTAGTTGGAAAATAATTTTCAAGGACCATAGTTTTGTATACATTGCATTATCGATTTATCAATATAAGTATCAAAACTAATCGGACCGATTCCTGCCTTCATATTACTAAATATAATATGTTATATTAATGTGTGAAATACCAATGCAATATTAACGAATGATCGCTCAATACAAATATCGATATAGAAAGCTTTGTGATTCATAATACGAATCAAATAAATTGAGTGCATAAATAATATTCCTATATTAAATCAAGTATAACAATATATTAAAAATTTATATTTTTTCAAAATATAAATATTTGTAAAATCCCGATAATTTCGATATAATATTAAACTCGATATTTATTTAGTTAGCTTTTTCTGCACTGAACTATACAGATGTACATTTAATTATAAATTTCATCTTCTTGGTCTGCCATTTTTTCTCAGTGCAGTCCTAAACTCGAGTTTAGTCTTGAAAAGAGTTGATTCGAGTTAATTGCTGTGCAATTTGTGAGCAACAAAATGGAATGCGCTGTCAAATCAAAGCCGAAGCACTTAATTAAAACTTATTGAAGGCAATCGCCAAATGTAGTGTTGGCGATTGCACTCCTAATTGCATAAGCATGTTGCTGCTGTCGCAGTGTTGCTGATGTTGCTGATGTTGCACCGGCAGTGTTGCAGTGTTGCATGCTTGGACTCGCTTGTTTACCTGACTTCGGCGGACTTGATGATGGCCTTGGGGGGCGCGTCCCAATAGTTGGGGGCGGGTGGCACCCACTGGCGCAGCACTTGATAGTTGCCCTCCAGCAGCGCCATGCCCTCGATGACCTCCTCGTCCGATTCGCCGTCATTATTGGGTTCATCGTTGGTGTTGGTGTTGCTGCTGCCATTGTTGTTGCTGATTCGACTATCGCAATCGGCATGCAAATTATCAAACGAATTGTTCATTGTTTCGGCCGGAAAAGCAGGAAAAACAAAAACACTAGACTAAGATTTTGGCGCCGCTTTCACTGCCACTTTTTTTTCGATGAGAGCCTTGGATTTTGTGGGTAAACAAAGATGCGCATTGCCATTTGCGCTGACGCACAGACACAAACACTGGCAAACACTCACGAGCACCAACACAAAGAACTATTTCAACCCCCCTCCCTCTCACCGTGAGGAAGAAGCAAGAGCAAACAATAACAAAGACGGCCGGCAGCAAAGATTGAGTTAAATTTAAGTTCGCTGGCACAGATTCCGAGTATTCGCGATAATTTCTCTTCTTCGATTCGATTCCAGTTAAAAATATGTATATTTATAGGGCTCGTTTCTATATAATCGCGGGGTCTTATCAATAGCCGGAATAATCGGAAAATACGCGGAATCGTCGGACGGAGCGCGTGGCCTCCGCTCGCGTTGCACTCCCGGTTGGTTCTTCCTTCTAATCGGCGAGAATGTTCGTTGCGTTTGTTTTGGCACGACGGGATTGACAAGCACGGCGAAAAACCCAAACACATCGCACAAAGGCTCACCAACACTGGGGCACTTTCGCACACACACACACCTCTGAGACTCGCACACACACACACACACACAAGGACACAACACACACACCGTGCACCGGAGGGTTAATATCTGGCACTCGCTTTTGCATCCCTTGTCGATGGCAGAGAACTCCGTGAACCCCGTGTTCGCCTCACGTCCTTGAGTCCTGCGATTCCGATTCCGATTCCTCTGATTCTGCTTCAGTTTCAGTTTCAGTTTTGGCTGTTTCGCCTTACGATTGCCGGCTTTTTTCCTTCCTCTTTTTAGTGTGTGTGGCAAATAAGGGTTTGTAATGTAATGTTTTTATGTCTGATTTCGTTTTCGTAAATTGTGGTGGTGTTCGTGGGGTGGTGCACTGGGGGGGTGGTGCCAGGCGGTGGGCGAACGTTCAATGCACGCATATTGTTGAAATTATGTAGCCAAAGAGGTGTACCGAAGGGGGGTTGAGGTGGTGTGAGGGCAGGGGAGAGGGG